GGTGGAGCTCCCTATGGGGCCACGAAACGTGTGAGGGGTGTGCCGAAATGGGTGTGGGTGACGCATAGCGGCTGCGGGGCCCGGGCACTGAGGAAGAAGATCCGTGGAGCTCCCTCTGGGGCCACGAAACGTGGAGAGTGTGCCGAAATGGGTGTGGGTGCGCAATGCGGGCGCGGGCACCTGGGCTTCGGCGATCTCCCTATGGGGCCCCCCGCGAAAAACCGTGTGAGGGGTGTGCCGAATTGGTGTTGGCTGACGCATGCGGGCGCGGGCACTGGGGCCTTCGGTGGAGCACCCTATGGAGCCACGAAACGTGTGAGGGGTGTGCCGAAATGGGTGTGGGTGACGCATGCGGGCGCGGGCACTGGAGCCTTCGGTGGAGCTCCCTATGGAGCCACGAAACGTGTGAGGGGTGTGCCGAAATGAGTGTGGCTGACGCATGCGGGCGCGGGCACTGGGGCCTTCGGTGGAGCTCCCTATGGAGCCACGAAACGTGTGAGGGGTGTGCCGAAATGGGTGTGGGTGACGCATGCGGGCGCGGGCACTGGGGCCTTCGGTGGAGCTCCCTATGGAGCCACGAAACGTGTGAGGGGTGTGCCGAAATGAGTGTGGGTGACGCATGCGGGCGCGGGCACTGGGGCCTTCGGTGGAGCTCCCTATGGAGCCACGAAACGTGTGAGGGGTGTGCCGAAATGGGTGTGGGGACGCATGCGGCCGCGGGCACTGGGGCCTTCGGTGGAGCTCCCTATGGAGCCACGAAACGTGTGAGGGGTGTGCCGAAATGGGTGTGGGTGACGCATGCGGCCGCGGGCACTGGGGCCTTCGGTGGAGCTCCCTATGGAGCCACGAAACGTGTGAGGGGTGTGCCGAAATGGGTGTGGGTGACGCATGCGGGCGCGGGCACTGGGGCCTTCGGTGGAGCTCCCTATGGAGCCACGAAACGTGTGAGGGGTGTGCCGAAATGGGTGTGGGTGACGCATGCGGGCGCGGGCACTGGGGCCTTCGGTGGAGCTCCCTATGGAGCCACGAAACGTGTGAGGGGTGTGCCGAATTGGGTGTGGGTGACGCATGCGGGCGCGGGTACTGGGGCCTTCGGTGGAGCTCCTATGGGGCTACGAAACGCTGTACTGGGTGGGTGAAACGCAGGGAAGAGGGGGAGGAGGGAGGAGGAGGGGGGGGAGGAGGAGGAGGAGGAGGAGAGGAGAGGAGACGCGGGCCACCGTCTCTTCAAAACAAGGACCCAACACCACAGGATGGTTGGGAAATAAGCTGTGAGAAATTATCCTGGCGAAAGACCCAACCATATGCAATTGTGAGTACCGCAAGTGTGAATATCTTCTTCGGTGGCGCTCCCTATGGGGCCACGAAGCGTGTAAGGGTGTGCCGAAATGCGTGTGCGGGACGCATGTGGGCACACTCACTGTGGCCTTCGGCGGGGCTCCCTATGGGGCCACGAAGCGTGTGAGGGGTGTGCCGAAATGGGTGTGCGTGACGCATGCGGGCGCGGGCACTGGGGCCTTCGGCGGAGCTCCCTATGGGGCCACGAAGCGTGTGAGGGGTGTGCCGAAATGGGTGTGCGTGACGCATGCGGGCGCGGGCACTGGGGCCTTCGGCGGAGCTCCCTATGGGGCCACGAAACGTGTGAGGGGTGTGCCGAATTGGGTGTGCGTGACGCATGCGGGGCGGGCACTGGGGCCTTCGGTGGAGCTCCCTATGGAGCCACGAAACGTGTGAGGGGTGTGCCGAAATGGGTGTGGGTGACGCATGCGGGCGCGGGCACTGGGGCCTTCGGTGGAGCTCCCTATGGAGCCACGAAACGTGTGAGGGGTGTGCCGAAATGGGTGTGGGTGACGCATGCGGGCGCGGGCACTGGGGCCTTCGGTGGAGCTCCCTATGGAGCCACGAAACGTGTGAGGGGTGTGCCGAAATGGGTGTGGGTGACGCATGCGGGCGCGGGCACTGGGGCCTTCGGCGGAGCTCCCTATGGAGCCACGAAACGTGTGAGGGGTGTGCCGAAATGGGTGTGGGTGACGCATGCGGGCGCGGGCACTGGGGCCTTCGGCGGGGCTCCCTATGGAGCCACGAAACGTGTGAGGGGTGTGCCGAATGGGTGTGCGTGACGCATGCGGGCGCGGGCACTGGGGCCTTCGGCGGAGCTCCCTATGGGGCCACGAAACGTGTGAGGGGTGTGCCGAAATGGGTGTGCGTGACGCATGCGGGCGCGGGCACTGGGGCCTTCGGCGGAGCTCCCTATGGGCCACGAAACGTGTGAGGGTGTGCCGAAATGGGTGTGCGTGACGCATGCGCGCGGGCACTGGGGCCTTCCTATGGAGCCACGAAACGTGTGAGGGGTGTGCCGAAATGGGTGTGGGTGACGCATGCGGGCGGGCACTGGGGCCTTCGGCGGAGCTCCCTATGGGGCCACGAAACGTGTGAGGGGTGTGCCGAATTGGGTGTGGGTGACGCATGGGCACTGGGGCCTTCGGCGGAGCTCCCTATGGGGCCACGCAGGGTGTGCCGGGCATGCGGGCGGGCACTGGGGCCTTCGGCGGAGCTCCCTATGGGCCACGAAACGTGTGAGGGGTGTGCCGAATTGGGTGTGCGTGACGCATGCGGGCGCGGGTACTGGGGCCTTCGGTGGAGATCCCTATGGGGCCGCGAAACGTGTGACGGGTGATGATGGCGATGATGATGATGGTGGTGATGATGACGTCGATGATGTCGATGATGACGATGAAGATGGTGATACCGAAACGGTTGCACACGTTTCGTGGCCCCATGATGATGATGACGATGATGATGGTGATAATGACGATGATCATGATGATGATGATGATGATGATGATGATAATGATGATGATGACGATGATGATGATGATGATGACGATGATGATGGTGATGATGATGATGGCAGGAGGGAGGGGGCAGCGGGAGGAGGAGGAGGGAACGCGGGGCACCGTCTCTTCAAAACGAAGACCCAACACCACAGGATGGTTGGGAAATATCAGGCGGGAGTCGCTGTTGTTGAAAACTCTGAAGCCAGGGGTCCAATTTGGTGACTCCTTTCTTTCACTAGTAGAAAGGCAGGCGCGAGCCCTGGGAGAAACCCTCGAATGGAAAAAACCTGCTTCCTGCGTAGAAACAAGAAGTCAATAACAACAAGCACTACAGCAACAACAGCAGTATCAATAGCAATAGCAATAACCATAACAATAACAATAGCAGGAATAATAAAACGAGTGGTAATCATAGCAACAACAATAATAACGATAGTTATAACACTCGGATCGTATATAATGACAATAATAAAAGAAAAATCGAATTGCACGAATAGTAGTATGAATATTCATAACAACACGAATAATAATGTGGTCAGAAAAATGAGAAAATACGATCACGAATAGCAGTCGCCGCAAAATCAAGGACAAGCACAAAAGCCACCACAACAACAAAATGATCCTGGCGAAGGACCCAACCATATGCAGGCGTGAGTACCGCAATTGTGAAATATCTTTTTCGGTGAAGCTCCCTATGGGGCCACGAAGCGCTGCACTGGGTGGGGGGGAACGCATGCGGGCGGAGCACTAGGGCCTTACGTGGAGCTCCCTATGGGGCCACGAAAACCTGCACTGGGTAGTTGAAAATGCCAAATTGGGTGTGTGGGACGCATGCGGACGGTTCGGTGGAGCTCCGTTTGGGGCCACGCAATGCTGCACTGGGTGGGTGAAAATGCAAACTTGGGTTTCCAGGGCGCACGCGGACGGTCCCACTGGGGGGTTCGGTGGAGCTCCCTATGGGGCCACGAAACGTTATGCTGGGTGGGTGACAATGCCAACTTGGGCTTCCGGGAAGCATGCGGACGGTCCCACTGAGGGATTCGGTGGAGCTCCTAGTGGGGCCACGAAACGTTGTACTGGGTGGGTGAAACTGCCCAAGTGGGTGTCGCGGACGCGTGTGACCACCCCCCACGGGGGCCTTACGTGGAGCCCCCTATTGGGGCCACGAAACGCTGTACTGGGTGTGGCGGACGCATGTGGCACCCCCCCTCCTGGGGCCTCAGGTAGAGCCCCCTTATGGGGCCACGAAACGCCGTACTGGGTGTGGCGGACGCATGTGGTACCCCCCCCCTGGGGCCTTAGGTGGAGTTCCCGATCGCATGTGGTACCCCCCCTGGGGCCTTAGGTGGAGCTCCCTATGGGGCCACGAAACGTCGTACTGGGTGTGGCGGACGCATGTGGTACCCCCCCCCTTGGGGCCACGAGACGCCGTACTGGGTGTGGCGGACGCATGTGGTACCCCCCCCCCCCGGGGGCGTTAGGTGGAGCTTCCTATGGAGCCACGAAACGCCGGCCGTACTGGGTGTGGCGGACGCAAATGGTACCCCCCCCCTCTGGTGCCTTAGGTGGAGCTCCCTGTGGGGCCATGAAACGCTGTACTGGGTGTGGCAGACGCATGTGGTACCCCCCCCCTGGGGCCTTACGTGGAGCTCCCTATGGGGCCACGAAACGCTGTACTGGGTGGGTGTGAAACGCACGGAGGAAAGAGGAGGAGAAGGAGGAGGAGGAGGAGGAGGAGTGAATGAGTGGGTTGGACGCGGGGCGCTGTCTCTTCAAAACGGGGACCCAACACCACAGGATAAATGGGAACAAAACAAAACAAAGAAAGCAAAACAAAAAAAACGACGCCAGTCGAGCGAGGAAGAGACTCCCCGCCCTGCTGCACAGGGCTGCTTGCCCCATCTGCTGCCAGCTCTGGTCCCCCTGGAGCTCTCGACCCCTTCCCTCGGGATCGGTTCTGCATCCTGAGCCACCCCTTGACGGCCCCGGGGCCTGGAGGCGGCCCCCAGGCGCCGAGAGCACTGCAAACACCCGGCAGCGCGGTGTCCTCGGCCGCCAGGGATCCGGGGCCAGAGCCCCGCCTGACTACAGCCACCTGCCTCTCCTCGACTGCAGCCAGCGCCGTCTCTCAGGCTCGCTGGCAGCGGTGGGGGGCGGGCGCACGCGTCGAAGTTGAAGATCGGGTACGGCTTGTCCGCGGGGCACCTCCTCACATTCCAGCAGGGGTGCGGGATGCAGACGCACTTGTGCTTCTTCGTGTCGTAGTCGAGCACGGGGAAGACCGGGTCCTGCTGGCAATGCGCAGCGGATGCGCCAGGACTAAGTGAGAAAGAGAAGCAACATAGCAGCAGCGACTGGAAGACGCATTCGAACCCAGGAACGGGCGTGGAGCACGTCGTCCTGATGCACTGAAGCCATCGTTAGGGAGAATTCGACGATATAACCACTGAAATTGCAGGAGCGCGTCCCATCCAGGCAACATCCGAAAGGCCTTCTAGTCAACTACGATTGGAGCGCGCCAGAACGGCCTGGAATTAACCTATTACGCGCTTCTTGGTAAAGCTGGCACTTCCATGCGACCACCTGTCCTTCATATTACAAGTGGCACGTGTGTGCCCAGGCTCATACAAAAAACTGAAGGGGCGTTTGAAGCAGGAGTGAAATGCAACAGCGAAATCGCACTCGAGCGCAAGTGGGGTTGCCACACCTTGCGATGTGTGTACCAGGGCCCCCCAGAAGCCTCAGGAGGCCCGGCTTGGATACCAGAAGAGGCTCCAGGAGGCCCCAGGATTGTGAGTGTTGTGTGGGTGTGTGTAATGTGTGCTCTGTGTTGTGCGTGCTTTTTGTGCGTTGTAGGTGTTGTGTGTTATGTTTGTCTAGGGCGTGATTTGTGTCTCTGTGTGTGCATGTAGTTCTGAGGCCCCAGAAGGCCCCAAGAGGCCCCAGGCGACCTTAGGAGGCCCCAAGAGGCTCCAGGAGGCCGCAGGAGGCCCCAGGAGGCCCCAGGAGGTTTCAGGAGACCCCCAGGAGGCTCCGAGGCGGGGTCTGGGGCATCAGAAGGTTTAGAAAGCCCCAGGAGGCCCCAGGAGGTTCCAGGAGGCCCCCAGGAGGCTCCGAGGCGGGGTCTGGGGTACCAGAGGGTACGTCGGGGCTCGATTTTGGGAGGATTTTTCAGGCGAAACCGCCATTCTCTGAGAATCGGTGTCAAAATTATTGAAATTACAATGTGTTGTTGAATGTGTTAGGTGAAAGTGTTGAAATTCCGATGTGTTTTGGACCCTGACGTCACGATCTGCGTGAGGGGTGCCACCGATTTTCAGAATTTCGAGGATGTCCCTAGCGAAACGGCCAGAAATATCGCGGACGCGGCGCCCCGCGTACGCATTAATCGCCTCTGAGCTCTACTCCCTCGGAGAGGTGCGTATGAGAATACGATTATGTGTCACGCTTCCCCCCTTGAGTGCCCCTGCTCTTCGGAGCTTCCTTTCGGGCCCAGAAACGCTGTACTGGGCGGGTGAGGGCGCAGGCGAGCGGTAGCGCTGACACCCTCGGTGGGGCTCCGTCTGGGGGCACGAACGGCTGTACTGGGCGGGGGGGCGCCTGCGGGCGGTAGCACTGGGGCCGTTGGTAAAGCCTCCTTTCGGGCCCAGAAACACTGTACTGCCCGGGGGAGACGCAAGCGGGCGGTAGCACTGGGACTGTCGCTGAGGATCCCTATAGGGCTACAAAACGCGATACTGGGTTGGGGGGCAGCCTTGGGACCTTCGGTGGAGCTCTCTCGGGCCCCGAAACGCTGTAGTGGGCGGGGGGGGGGGGGGGGCGCATGCGGGCGGCAACGATGGGACCTTCGATGGAGCTCCTTACGGGGCCACGACACGCCGTACTGGGCGGGAGGGCGCACGCAGGCAGTAATACTGGGGCCGTCGGTGGAGCTCCATCTGGGGCCACGAAGCGCTGCACTGGGCGGGGGGGGAGGCGCAGGCGGGCGGCAGAACGGGGGCCGCTGGTGGAGCTTCCTCTCGGGCCACAAGATATTATACCAGGCGGGGAAGGGCATGCGGGCGGTAGCACTGGGGCCGTCGGTGGAACTCCCAATGGGGCCATGAGACGCTGTACTGGGCGGGGGGGGCGCACGCGGGCGGCAACACTGGGGCCGTCGGTAAAGCTCCCTTTGGGGCCACGGAACATGTGAAGGGTGTGATGAAACGTGTGACGACGGCGAGAATGGAAGTCCGGAGGCTGGGGAGGAACGAAGGAAGGAAGGAAGGAAGGAAGGAAAGGAAGGAGAGAAGGAAGGAAGGAAAGGAAGGAAGGAAGAAAGGAAGGAAAGAAAAACAGAAAGGAAGGAAGGAAGGAAGACAGGAAGGAAGTAAGGATGAAAGGAAGGACGGAAGGAAGGAAGGTGGAAGGAAGGAAGTAAGGAAGGAGTGGAAAGGAAGAAAGGAAGGAAGGAAGGAAAGGAAGGAAGGAAGGAAGAACGGACGGACGGAGGGAGGGAGGAAGGAAGGAAGGAAAGATGAAGGAAGGGAGGGAGGAACGCGGGCGCGGTCCCTTCAAAGCGGACACCCAACACCACAGGACGGTTGGGAATTAGCATGCCGCACGGGCACTGCCCACCACAGGGCGCGACACTCGCAGTCCAGCGCGTGCCCTGACAGCCCGGCCGCCGCCCAGCACAGCGCCGCCGACGGCTGCGCCCCCTTCCCGAGCAACGTTGGTTGTCCCTCTGGGCCACTTCTGGGGCCACTTCCGCGGTCGCCCAGCGTCAGCCCTCACTGGCGCCGGGCGCCAAACACAGTACCATGGCATAGCCGACGTCGGGGTTTCCCGACAAGCAACCTCCACGCACGACGCCCTGCGCCGGGCAAAGGCCCTCCCTCCACACCCTACCTGCCCTGTCCCTGCATGACCTGCGTCGCGGGCTCGCGAGCGGGTCAGCGAAAGAAGGGCCATTGGCCCAGAGGATGCGCAGGGGCGGCACTGGAGCCGGGGTCAGGGAATCGCCTTTCGGTGTGCGCTAGGGGGGAATGGGGAGCGGGAAGAGGGGGAAGGGGGGAGGGGGAGAGGGGAACAGAACAACAACAACAACAACAACAACAACAACAACAACAACAACAACAACAACAACAACAACTACAACAACAACAACAACTACTACTACTACAACAACAACACCAACAACAACAACAACAACAACAACAACCACAACCACAACCACAACAACAACAACAATCAGTTTAAGACTGTTCGTTCTTATCTGCTCGCGTGTCATTCAATATGCATATCCTAAACCCTGGATACCCGCCCTCTTCGTCTTCGACCGTACCCCCTTTTGGGGGTTGTATTCATTCCCTGCCACGCGTGGTTGGTGAAGCCCTTGAAAACGAAGGGCAACAAAGAACGGGGAAGAATGAGGACGAAGGGATGGGAGGGAGGGGAGAGGCAAGAAGGAGGGAGGACGATGATTTGCGCTCTGACTGGCGATTCAGCTTGCGCCATGGCTTGCGCCAGCCACTCCAACTTTTTTGGTCCGCGGGTCGATAGCGCACCTCTTCCGGTCGAAGGTAAGCGGGCCGCGCACAGCTTTAATTGACATAGGGAGGGAGCAGAAGGAGGGGCCTCAAGTCAAAGCCAAGAGGGGGCAAAGCTCCGGAATCAGGCAGCGCCGAAGACGATGTGCTTGCAAAGGAACGTCTTGTACAGGAACCCGGCGGCGAAGTACCGGAAGAAGCAAAATGCTGTGGTCGGTGGTGCCGTCAGCGGCGCGTCATGTACACCAGCCTCAAGTGGCGGCGGGAGAGGACTCGCCACGCATCCAGGGCGACGCCCGGAGGGGTGAGGAGCATCGCTAGGCCGGAGTGCAACGTTGTGCCACCGAACAGGATGCGGGAGCGGGCCCAGGCCGTGGTTGTCCAAGGTGCCACGGACTCAGGGTACGGGGGCCCAAGTCTGAGGCGTAGCAGTCAGGTCATGCCAGGACCATGCCGCCTGTAACGACCGACAGGGTGCCAGTGTGCTGCAGGGTGGACGCCTGCCCTGCAGTGGCGAGCGCGTGGGATCGGGCCGAAGCCGCGCACGGTGCGCTGCGGTAGTCCGCGGTGCCCAGGGCCGGGCCGGGGCCGCGCTGCGCCCAGGACCGCGGGGCCGCCGAAGCGGCAAGGTGCGCGCGAGCGCCGGGCACCGGGCCGAAGCCGCGCTGTGCCGGGCACGGCCGCCACGCGGGAGTGGGGTAGCGAACGGGGAGGGGAAAGCGGACAGGAAGGAGAAGTGCCGACCAGGCGGGCCAGCCAGCGCCAGGGCAGCCCCGCGCCGGCAGCCGGGCGTAGCGCCAGTTGCTGGAGGCAGGCGGATCCTGCGGAATCAGGGGGGACTAACCGTCCCATTTTCAAGTAAAGGGGGGGGAGGGAGGGGGAGGGCAAGTTGCCGAAGGCGACGAACAGGTCGTACCCCCAGAAGAGCGTCGCGATGCGTGCCAGAGCCAGGAGGGGCGGTTCGGGCGCGGTGCCCGAGGTCAACAGGACCGCTAGAAGCATTGAGGTGCGTCAGCGCTTGGGCGCTGTATTCCGTGCCAGTGTCCATCCAGAACTGCGCAGCGGGCCGTCCCCCGCGCCCATTGTGTTTGGCCGTATCCTGGTTCCGCCGGATTCCTGATGCAGGGCGCTTTCGCAGCCCCAGTCGATGTCGCAGTTGGTGCGGGATCAGGAGGGACAAACCGTCCCATTATCAGGTGTGTAGGAGGAGGGGAAAAGGGGGAGACAGGGCCAGGCGCTGTAGAAGGCGACAAACAGGTCGTACCAGGAGAACAGCGCCAAGAAGCCTGCCAGGGGCAGGAGGGGCGGTTGGTGCGGTACCTTGGGCGGCGGCGTCATGGGGAGCGTTCAGGGCAGGAGCCACTCCAACACAGGTAAACCATAAGTTTCGCCATGGGTCGCGCCATAAACAGCGCCACGCACCACCCCCTCGAAAGAACATATCGTGCATACCCCCACGGGGGGACGCACAGCTGCGAACAGGTGTCAGAAACAAATTTCGTGGAGCCGTGAAAAGAAGCGGGATGTTGGGAGAGCGGGGCGGAAGGATAGTGAGAGCTGCAACCGTGTCGAGAGGAGCGCGGGGATGTGGAGTGGATTGGGACGGAGTGGACAAGAGTAGGGTCTTAGGAGGAGGAGCGGCAAGGAGTGTAGAAGAGGAACCAGGAGGAGTGCGGAGGAGCGGGGGGCGCACGGAGGAATCTGGAGGAGGGGCTGGGAATAATTTGGGAGAAATGCGGAATGCGAGCAGGAAGGGG